TGTAAGTGTTGTGGATGTTGTAAGTGTTGTGGATGTTGTAAGTGTTGTGGATGTTGTAAGTGTTGTGGATGTTGTAAGTGTTGTGGATGTTGTAAGTGTTGTGGATGTTGTAAGTGTTGTGGGTGTTGTAAGTGGGTGTAAAGTTACCATTAGTCCCCGACAACAAAATTAATGACCAGTTAAAATTTGAATATGAAATTGTGTCAGTGAACACGAGAAGATGGTGGTAGTTGTGGTGATGGTAGTTATGATGGTAGTTGTGGTGGTGATGGTGGTAGTTGTGGTGATAGTAGTTATGATGGTAGTTGTGGTGGTGATGGTGGTAGTTGTGGTGATAGTAGTTATGATGGTAGTTGTGGTGATAGAGTAGTTATGATGATAGTAGTTGGTGATGGTAGTTGTGGTGGTGATGGTAGAAGTGATAGTAGTTATGATGGTAGTTGTGGTGGTGATGGTGGTAGTTGTGGTGATAGTAGTTATGATGGTAGTTGTGGTGGTGATGGTGGTAGTTGGTGGTGATAGTAGTTGGTGATGGTAGTTGTGGTGGTGATGGTGGTAGTTGTGGGTGATAGTAGTTATGATGGTAGTTGTGGTGGTGATGGTGGTAGCTGTGGTGATAGTAGTTATGATGGTAGTTGTGGTGCATGTGGTAGTTGTGATAGTAGTTATGATGGTAGCTGTGGTGGTGATGGTGGTAGCTGTGGTGGTGATGCAGTCAGGTGATAGTAGTTGGCGATGGTAGTTATGGTGGGTAGTTCCGGTGATGGAAGCTGGCGATGGAGTTGTGGTGGTGATGGTAGTTGTGGTGGTGATGGCAGTTGTGGTGGTGATGGTAGTTGTGGTGGTGATGGTGGCTGGTGATGATGCAGTTATGGTGGTAGCTGTGGCGATAGTAGTTATGATGGTAGTTGTGGTGGTGATGGTGGTAGTTGTGGTGATAGTTATGGTGGTAGTTGTGGTGGTGATGGTGGTAGTTGTGGATGATGGTAGTTATGATGCAGAAGCTATGGGTGGTAGTGGTGGTGGTGATGGTGGTAGTTGTGGTGATGGTAGTTATGATGGTAGTTGTGGTGGTGATGGTAGTTGTGGTGGTGATCGTGGTAGTTGTGATGATGGTAGTTATGGTGGTAGTTGTGGTGGTGATGGTGGTAGTTGTGATGGTAGTTGTGGTTTTGATGGTGGTAGTTGTGGTGATGGTGGTAATTGTGTTGGTGATGGTGGTTGTTGTGGAGGTGATGGTGGTAGCTGTGGTGGTGATGGTGATAGTTCTGGTGTTGATAGTGGTAGTTGTGGTGGTGATGGTGGTAGTTATGGAGGTGATGGTGAGAGTTGTACAGCTGGTGAGAGTTGTGGTGTTGATGGTGGTAGTTGTGGTGGTGATGGTGGGTGTTGTGGTGATAGTGGTAGTTGTGGTGATGGTGGTCGTTGTGGTGGTGATGGTGGTAGTTGTGGTGGTGTCTTCAGCTATTAGGAAGCTGAAATTATCTACAAAGTTGCACGTATATCGAGCAGTGGTCCTCCTCACCCTGCTACATGGCAGCGAGACATGGGTCACATACAGGAGGCACCTCAAGGAACTTGAAAACTTTCACCAACGTAGTCTACGTCCCATCCTCCAAGTTCACTGGGAAGACAGGAGAACAAATGCCAGTATTCTCGCTGACACCAATTGTAGGAGCATCGAGGCTACCATTATCCACGAACAACTACTCTGGACTGGCCATGTTACCCGCACTTTACAGTCATCTAACGAATAGTTAACGTAACGCCGGCGGGTAACTGAAAAGGTATAAGGATAGTCTTAAGACAAACCTGTAAAGGTACCAAATCGACCCACTCTCCTGGGAGACGATTACTCCACACCATAACGCATGGAGGAGCACCACACGAGAAGGTGTCAATATTTTCGAATTAGCCCGACTGCATACAAGCGCCAGCGCCGGAAAGACGCTGCCGCCCCACACACACTAGATGGAGCCATCCACACGTGCAACATTTGTGAACGACTCTGCAGGTCCCGTATCGGCGTCTCTAGTCACCTCAGAGCTCACCAACGATGGTGACATCCTTAATAACTCATATAATTGTATCATAGCTGGATGATCGTCATACTCGATTCCGAGTGATAACAAAATAATGTGATGGTGATGGTAGTTATGGTGGTGGTTGTGATGGTGATGGTAGTTATGGTGGTGGTTGTGATGGTGATGGTAGTTATGGTGGTGATGGTGGTTATGGTGCTGATGGTGGTATCTGTGGTGGTTATGGTGATAGTTCTGGTGGTGATGGTGGTATTTGTGGTGGCGATGGTGGTAGTTATGGTGATGGTGATAGCTTTGGAGGTGATGGTGGTTATCTTGGTGGTGATGGTGGTTATTTTGGTGGTGATGGTGGTTATTTTGGTGGTGATGGTAGTTGTTGTGTTGGTGATGGTGGTAGTTATGGTGGCGATGGTGGTAGTTCAGGTGGTGATGGTGATAGTTGTGGTGGCGGTAGTTGTGGTGATGGTAGTTGATGTGGTGATGGTGGTAGTTGTGGTGGTGATGGTAGTAGATGTGGTGATGGTGGTCGATGTGGTGATGATGGTGGTCAATGTGATGATGGTGGTCAATGTGATGATGGTAGTTGCGGTGATGATGGTAGTATATGTGGTGCTGATGGTACATGCGGTGGTGGTAGAGAGAGAGATTTAGTAGGTAGGCATCCTCTACAATTTCTGTTTTAATGTCGTCAGCAAATTTACGTATATTGCTGTCTGCGCGTATATCTGTCTCGTTTATGCATATAATAAATAGTAATGGTCCAAGTACTGAGCCTTGGGGTACTCCACTAGTGACGTTACTCCAATTGGATTTAGTGCCATTAAGGCTGTTTCCTGTCCTGTAACCACACCCTAATCCAGTTAGAGCATCTCCAATTCCCTGAGCCTCTACTGTACTATTAATCTTTCGTGGGAGAAAGACTAAGGCATTAACAGTTAAGTGACAGTTACATACACTAAGAAATAAACAGTTAAGTGAGACAGTTACATACATTAAGACATCAACAGTTAAGTGAGCCAGTTACATACACTAAAACATCAACAATTAAGTGGCTATTACATACACTAAGACATCAACAGTTAAGTGGCTATTACATACACTAAGACATCAACAGTTAAGTGGCAGTTACATACACTAAAACATCAACAGTTAAGTGACAGTTACATACAACTTGGCTTTATTCCAGGGTCAGTGTTGCAAGGTTGTGTATATTTGTGTAGATGCTCCGCCCCCTCCTCAAAAGTTACAGCTGATTGGCTGATGCAAACCTGTCCGATTTCGTCCTAAAGGAATGGTGCATTTCTAAATGAGTTTATTCATAATTGTTGGGAATCCCAACTTGGGATAACCGTTTCTGACGAGTAGGATATGTAGCTAAATTATATAAAGATACATACATTCATTATTTTAGACATAAGTACGTAGGAAGTTTATAAGAAGTATTATACATGAATTAACTGTTAAACTCGGGTAGCAAATTCACGCTTTCGGAGGATGCATTTAATATATACTTATTTTTACCCACAATAAGGCATACTAAGACAAATTACGTATCGGTAATACTACATTATGCAAAAACTAACATTTTAAAACATCAGAATCACATTGAAATATTTCCACTGCCGTCAGTAGAGGCGGGAAATATGAAGTCCGCAGTCGCCTGCTCATCTACTTACTATTACTGTATATGTGCTGTTCTTTCTGGGCTGTAAACAATCATTACACCTCCCGCCAAGACCAAAGCTTCCCTACCAGAGAACTGGTGACACATATAGACAGTGATAATGGTAATATCAAGTGCAGTATCTAGAATAGCCCCTGAGGCAATAATGCATCCTCACATTTTACAAACAATAATCTCATAGATACTGGCATGTATGTTTTTCTACTGGCTTGGTTTGATCGGACAAAACTTACTATACATTGTTGTTATTGTATTGTAATATGTTGATGCAAAGTTGTGTTGTAGATGTTGTTGATTAAGATGTCTTAAATGTTGTAAACTACAACCGTAACACACACATACACACGCACACACACCCACACACACAATGCAGACATGTTGAGGTACAGATTTAAAGTACAGGTTCAAATTAGTGTGACAGTGAGTTAGTGGAACAGTGTGAGTTAGTGTGACAGATTGAGTTAGTGTGACAGTGTGAGTTAGTGGAACAGTGTGAGTTAGTGTGACAGATTGAGTTAGTGTGACAGTGTGAGTTAGTGGAACAGTGTGAGTTAGTGTGGTTAGTGGAACAGTGTGAGTTAGTGTGACAGATTGAGTTAGTGTGGCAGTGTGAGTTAGTGTGACAGTGTGTGACTGTGAGTTAGTGGAACAGTGTGAGTTAATGTGACAGATTGAGTTAGTGTGACATTGTGAGTTAGTGTGACAGTGTGAGTTAGTGTGACAGAGTGAGTTAGTGTGACAGATTGAGTTAGTGTGACATTGTAAGTTAGTGTGACAGTGTGAATTAGTGTGACAGTGTGAGTTAATGTGACAGATTGAGTTAGTGTGACATTGTGAGTTAGTGTGACAGTGTGAGTTAGTGTGACAGTGTGAGTTAGCGTGACAGAGTGAGTTAATGTGACAGATTGAGTTAGTGTGACATTGTGAGTTA